ACTGGAAGCTATAACATATAAAGAATGGTTGCTGGAATTGGGCATGTCTAGTTTAAAAGAAGGACTAGGGGTGCTGGCATGCTAGTGGGGGAATTCTGGGAGTTGAAGTCCACACTTCTTAATGTCGCTAATAACACTCAAGTCCAAAATGTCTACGGAGGTTCTCAGGAATCCAGGTCATGGTTGTTTTTCTTTTTTCTTTTCAAATGGCAACTAGATTTTATTGAGTTTCTTGAAGACATTTTACTTCTCACCCAAGAAGCTTCCTCAGTTCAAAGTAAAAAGCATCTTTTGGTGCTCAAGTGCTAAGTATTCCAAGCTACCCTGACAATTAGGGGGAGCTGTTTCACCTAGTTATTTTAGACATGATTCCATATTGCCCTCCTTCCTCTTGTTTGTGCTGTTTCCTGTCACATCTCTTTTCTGTTAGACTCTGCTCAAAGCATTTTTTTTTTCTTGCAGCTCTAGGGTTCTCGGTGGAATCGAAAGAGCCTTAATTATAGGTGGTCCTTGACCTAGGACCACAATTAAGCCCAAAATTTCCATTGCTAAATAAGACAGTTGTTAAGTGAATTTTACCCCATTTTATGACCTTTCTTGCTACAGCTGTTAACTGCAGTTGTTCAGTGAATAACACGGTTGTTAAATGAATCTGGCTTCCCCATTGACTTTGTCAGAAGTTCGTAAAAAATGATCACATGGCCCCGGGATATTGCAACAACCATCATAAATACATGCCAGTTGCCAAGTGCCCGAATTTTGATCACGTGACCATGGGGATACTGCAGCGGTCATAAGCGTGAAAACAGTCATAAGTCACTTTTCAATGCCGTTCTAACTTTGAATGGTCATTAAATGAATAGTTGTGAGTCAAGATCTACCTGTATGAATAAGACATATTTGCACAGAAGCTTGTTAATATTCCTCTCTTTTTCATGGTTTTTGGCTTGCTGACTTAGTCTAGTCTGCAAGAACCTGACCTCTGCATGTGCTACTCATCAGACTTTTTGATGCTCTATATAATAGCAGAGAGGGGACCCTTTGTTTGGTAAAATGACAATTCCTAAACCTGTCCTTCTGTTGAAAACCACAGCAGATCAAAGGCTTCAGAATGTCCTTCTCCTTGCAAATCTTTTCACTCAGAACTGATTTAGAGGCTTTTGCCTGAATAAAAACTGAACAAACCTTCAAAACGTTGAGCACTGCCATAAAGATGAAGAATAGAAGAATGTAGTGATAGTTAAGTAGCTGCTTGAAAAATGCTATAGATTTGATTGGAGCTTTTTTACTCCATTTCTTTTATAATCTAAAGCTTAAGATGAAGATGGAGACATAGAGATTCATATTATGTCTGAGTCTATTTTTCCTCTATTTATCTTGCAAAGAGACCTCTTGTTTGACTTTCTATTGAAACTGTTTCTTCTCTTTAAGCTGCTCAGGAGAGGAAACCCAGCCTTCGATAAATTAGTAGAGGAACTGCATTGATATTAAAGTCTGACTTTTTTTTTTTAGTCCATAAGATAATTGTTGTGAAGATCAGCAAATCAGGATAGGCTGGTTAGTGCTGCAACCACGGGGCACAAAAACAGGCTACCACCATGCTATGGGGTGCAAAAATAAGATGACGCTGCGCTGTGGGGCACAAAAATGGGACACCATTGCACCATGGGGCGTAAAAACAGGACGATAACATGCCATGGGGCATGAAAACGGGATGCCCCTGCATCATGGGGTGTGAAAATGGGGTGCTGCACCACACAAAAATGGGGCAGGGCTAGCAAGTATCACATAGGCACTAGCACTGCCCCATTTGTATCGCACACATGCTTGTGACCCCACGCATGCACAAAATGCTTCCCCCTCCCTTTCTCTCCGGTCCACCAGCCAAGAAAGATTGGTGACCTCTGCCCTAAGGTTTAACCTCAATATTTTCACTCTTTGGAAGTAAAAAAAATAAAGAATATTTTTTTTATTTTACTTTTGGGAAGTAAAGAAGCAGAAAGTTATTTATAACAGTCTCTTGAGTTAATCTGATCTTCTGCAGCAGTTAATAGGGATGATGTAGAAACAAATTACAGATTTGTTTTAGATTACAATAGCACATCAGAGAAGGACTTTTTTTTTAATGAGAGAAAAATATCCCTCTGGTTTATTGTGGGCACATAATAAAAATAATCAGGATAATGTCCAAATAGGAGTAATAGGAAAACATTCTAGGGTGCAATGGTCTGTGAAAAGCACAATTACAAAAGACCAGTAACATTACCCATTCCTTTTATTTAAATCTTACATTAAAGCAAAGCAAACAGCTGTACTTTTTCTTTCAGCATAATGATTCTCTTTAAAAAAAAAAAAGTAGATTTTAATGACTTAAGTAAAAGTGGTGTGCATTCTGAGAGCTTGTGTGTATTGACCATAACCATTCATTAAGTAGAATGGAATTTGGTATGTTTGTTGGCCAAGAAAAACTGCTCCTATTTTTATTGCACAAAAAATATAAAAGACTTTTATCTTTTAGTGATTGTTATTGTTAAGGAACTATGAAGTTTTACTTAAATTTGTTCAAGAGGATCCCTGTGAGGTTATTTACTTTTTGTTCTCCTTTTAAAAGAGAGAGAAGAGAGGCTAAAGGATAATAGTCAATCCATGGCACTGCGCCTCTATCACTTTGTATTTCTCCTTTTTTAAAAACAAACAAACTATTTTTCCTTTACTTCCATCTTCCATTTAATACTATTTTAAAAGTTCACTTTATGGCATCTTTCTGTTATTGTTGTACTTCACATAATGAAATAAACTTAAAGACTCTGTTTCTCAATTTAACACGTACAGTAGACAAGCACGTGCACCCATCTCTATATAAACTGCCTGATTTGTGTTTGCATTTAACTGGAATTGTCCATCACCTCTCCAAATAGATTTTATTTAAATACACAGTGAATTGAATAGTTTTATATAGAAAAAAGCAAATCTTTTTCTCTGAAAACTTTTCAACTTTGCAAGTTTTGCACACTCTTTCCTACTGTTGCTGTCTTAAGTATGCTAGTTGGCCTTTAGAATAGGTCTTAGCCAGAATAAAATCTATATGAAGTAGCATTTGTGAGGGGTCCTTGGTGCTCTCTGAGCTGGCTTGTTTTCTTGCAGACATTGCATTACCCTGACTAGGTAACATCATCAGTGCTAATAAGGAGTGCTGTTTGCTGTCAGTTTATATTCTGGTGTCTTGCCTGTCTCGGTGGGTGGGTGGGTGGGTGGGTGGGTGGGTGTCTTAGGGATTCTTCGGTTGGGCTGTTTACTAATGGCTCTGTGGCAGATTCTTGATTGGGGTATTGCTTATCTTGGAGTTAATCTATGCTGACCTGAGTGCTGATTACTGGTGGGGAAGTGCTGGAGTCTTTTTCTCTTTTGGGCCAGTTGATTGTCTGTTTTGCATAGTCTATAGATGTTGTTAATGTCTGTATCTGTTGAGGGCTGGTTTGTCAGAGTTCCAGGCTTCTAGAAATTCCCTGGTATTTTTGGATTTGGCCTGGTCTAAGATGGTCACATTTTCCCAATTGAAAATGTCTATACATTGTGAAATTAAAGAATTTTCGTCATGCCTTTGACTGCTAGTTGGTGTTCATGGATGCCTTCTGCCAGTCTTCTGCCTGTTTGTCCTACATTTGTTGTTGTATGAGATTTAGATGGGTTATCTTCCCCAACCTGATGTCCCTCAGTATGCTGTCATGTTATTTGGAGATTGTGCAGCTCATAGGCCAACAGATCTCAAGTTTGAGAATAAATTTCATTATCATGACTTTAATCTGGAATATACAATCTGTTGATATAAAAATGGAGTAATGGATCCAAATCTTACAGAAAGTTCTTTATATTCTCAGCTAAAATTATAATAACTAAAATAAATTAGGTGAAGATTATAATTCTGAAATATATTGTCCCAAAGGTACCTTTTCACAAGGCGGCTGGACTTTCTTTGTTTTTCTTTGAAAACATTTCGGTTCTCATCCAAGAAGCTTCTTTGGGATGAGAAGCAAAACATCTTCAAAGAAAAAAGTAAGAAAGTCCAGTTGCCTTTTGAAGAAGCACATTTGGGACAACTGTGACCTGAAGGACTAAGAATCTTCATGGACACTACAATAGATTGACAAAAATATAAGCTATCAGAACTAAAGAACAAAACTCTTTATTTTATGAAAAATCCAGGTAAAACAGATTGTTAATTAATGTAATGATTTTTTTAAAATATTCTGTAATAAAATAAAACTGGAATTATTGAAGGAGGGGGAAACCAAGATAAGCAGTTCAGAACTTTTATTTAAATTAAAATAATTGGCATAATGAAGAACAGGTAGTCCTCGATTTAGGACCACAAGTGAACCCACAATTATGGTTGTAAATCATGACAGCCATTAAGGTCATCATGTGACCATGCCTGATTTTGCATCATTTTTTTGCAGTGGTATTTACACAAACATGATGGTTATAAAGCGAATGCTGTGGTTGTTAAATGAATGTTGCAGTTGTTAAGTAAACCCACGGTCACTTTGGCGTGGCTATTGCTGGAAATGCCAGTTTCAGGGGGGAACCATAAATTAGGGTCACGTGACCATAGGATGTTGCAAATGGACCAGTTGCCTAGTGCCCAAAATGCAACCATGTGACTGGAGTAATGGAGACCGGCCATTGGAACTTCAAATCTGGATCATAAATAGCTTTTTTTTTTAGGCTTGTCTAAGCAGCAGGTCAGAATTTGAGGACTACCCATATTAGGAAGGGATATTAGGAAAACCTTTACAGTTTTAAGAAAGAAAATGAAGACTGAAACAAAATACGTTCTTTTAAGACACTGTTTCTTCAGCCTCCGCGACCTTAAGATGTATAGACTTCAACTCCCAGAATGCCCCCATGTTTTAAGAGATACTGATTTTTTTGAAAATGTGTTATCCCCTAATTGTGAGTCTAAAAATATCTATATTCTTGACCTTTTTCTGTCTTTTCAGAGGAAGACGGTGGTGACCTCCTCAAGACAGGGATCAGTTTTCCTGGCACGCCAGAGGAAGAGCTAGGTACAGAGAATATTTCTTAGCTGAACAAAACTCGTCTTGGTCCATCCTTATATGCCACTTAATGCTTCAGCTTTTCAAAAGCAACTGTGTGATTGCAGGCATTTTTGCTTTATTTCATAATTAGAATAGGATTTTAATTTAAGGTTTAGGATCAACATTCATTTTACACCACCAACACTTTCAGCTTTTCTCACTTTGTGTGTTGGGCATAAAAAGCCAAAACATTCAAAAACAGAGCTTTTAAAAAAAGATGATATAGATGAATTAAATTCATTGGGAAAAATTATGAGAATAGTCTAACAGTCCATTCTAATTTAAAAATTTTGGAAAGTATTGAGTTCATGATCTAGGCTCTTTTCACACAAGAAAAAATTCCCACAATGCCATAAGAAAAATTATTTTATCACATACATACATACATACATACATACATACATACATACATACATAGTATGTATGTAGATATATACACAGAGGCAGACACAATTTAATTATTAATATTTTAACATCACCACAATTTATTCAATTTAATAACATTAAATACCCACAGTAATGCAGCTAAAATGTCCACAATAAGAAATAAAATAAAAAAATAAAGCCCAGTGTCATATAGATGAAGTATAGTGGAACTTGCAATATCCAGTAGTAAACATAGATGGGGTCCTATCTCTTTCCAAATGATCTGGAAGTATTATATTTATAGTAACTTCCAGAACAACAACAAAAGGAGAGCAAGTCTGATCATGATAAACCGTTTCATCTTATATGTCTTGTTAACAGATTAGATGGTTTTCCTCTGGCTCCAGAAGGCAGTCCTGAAAGTACCTAGATGCCAATCTATGTAGGACTTAATAGATTAAGACAAACCTCTAATTGCACTCAGAAGCCAATGAAAAGTGAATGATAGTCCTATAGCTGATATGAGGTATTCATGGCAATGAGCACCAGCCAGTGAGTCTCTGCCTTTTACATTAATTGTAGTTTCTGAGTGATCTTCTACTGCCTTGTAAGCAGATTGCAGTAGTCCAAACAAGTGGTTGTGAAGGCATACATTATTGTGAGGTGCTTCTGCAACAGGTATGGCCACAACTGAGGCAGCAGTGGGAACATGGCCAAGGACCCTTGGCCATAGTCTCCATTTGCCCATCCAGCAGAAGCTGCATGTCCAGACCTACTTCTTTGGAATAGTGCCATCTTGTCAAGAGATAACATCAGAGAAGATGAGGCATTTTAGTGCACAAACCATAGCTCCATCTTGCTTTAGCCAAGGGGTCTCCAAACTTGGCAACTTTAAGACTTGTGGACTTCAACTCCCAGAATTCCCTGGCTGGGGAATTCTGGGAATTGAAATCCACAAATCTTAAAGTTGCTAAGTTTGGAGAACCTTGCTTTAGCCTGTTTCATCCTACTTAGGCCTCAACATTCTTCAGATACTGGGATGAGACATTGACAACATGTCCTGCGTAGCTGGGTAGCAGGTTAGAATTGAATGACATCATGCTACTGATATCATGAAACAATGCATGTTCTCCATTACCTATACCACCACCACCATGAGCACTATTGAAGCAATGAACTTCTGAGTTCTCTCTGATTGAGTTCCTAACACCAAAAAGCAAAGGATTCTGGCACTAACCCAGAAATCAGATTCAGAAGTTCAGATAGGGACCTAGCTGTGCAAGCAGGTCACCAGAAAGATCCCTACATTGTTCATATTGCCCAGTTTAATATATAGGCATTTACACCCATATATAGGCTCTGTTGTCTTGGAACAAAATGTCTAAGTTGCAAGCATATACTTTACTTTCTAAATGTCACTTATGCACAATTATGGAAATCTGTCCAGCCATTGGCAGTTACTTATGTGCTTATATCGTATATGATGTCATTCATACCCTTTAAAGTACTTTACTAAATTTATTTTAATTAGTATCAAAAATCCAAAGTATGATTAGCTAAGATGATTATCTTAGCTGCCTATCTGTCACAGAAAGTGAATGGCTGATTTGCTTTGGTCATAAGAATCCTTGACTGAGTTCATCTAGATCTAAGAATATTGGCTTGTTATTAGCTGGGCTGACCTGAATTGTGAGAAGAAAAAGGAAGGTAGAAGGAGACTTATTGTACATATGGACTTGATAAAGGAAAGGAAAGGAGGGAGGATTCAACAGAACAGACAAGCAGAACCAGGAATCTGAAAAGAAATAGAAAAATGGGGTTTGGGTGGGTGGGTGGGTGAGGTAAGGAATTTCAAATCTGTGACAGGTACATATTGTCATTCAAGCAAAATCAATTTGAAATAGCCAAAATATTGTTTCTATTCAGACAAAAGTATCCCTATGTTTAATCTTTAACTGTAATCAGTGGAATATAAAAATACCTAACCTAGGCTAGGCAAATTCCAAAGAAATGTATGATGTGTAAAATACTGCTTTTTGACCATAATGTACTTTGGCAGAAATTCTAGTTAACACCTGTTGTCATCTTTGTCAGTCTTTGTGTAGATATTTAAAAAAAAAAAGAGTAGGTGAAAGAAAATTGTGTGGCATAAGCTGTCTTCACCTTCAACCTTGTGTTCCTGGAAAATATCCAGTTAAAACAATAGTGACTATATTGCTTCTGCCCGGTCATGGTTTGGTTTCATAGAAGCTGATAAATGTGATGAATTGGATAGTTACAGTATACCCTTAAATGAACACCAACACTAGGTTTTCTGCTTTGAATGAATAATGAGGATAAATAATTTCACACTGATTCTGTTTTATTCTCCTTCCCTTTGTTCTTTTGCAGTTAGAAGCATGTAAGAAAAATGAACTGTTTCAGGTGTTTTCCATTTTGTAACATGTTGGAAAATAATTATAGAACACTGCATAAATTTAGCACTTTTATTCTCACAAACATGTTACTTTAACCAGCATATTACAGCTAGGTAAACATTATTTAAAACAAAATAATTGAATTTCTAATATACCATATGATGATTACATTTACATGTTAATTTATTTAAAGCATTTGTATATTCTTGCTATCACAAATATTTTTCACAAAGTGATTTACAATGCAAATTAAAAGTACCCACTCTCACATACTTCTTTCTACTGAAACTAATTGTGTAAAATATTTTGATTTTTCTAACATTCAGATTTTTCTAACATTCAGATATTACACAGAACCTGCCAATATGAATAACTTAATTTGCGGACTTTCCTATTTATTTTATTTCCAAAATTAAATTCTATCCAATTGCCTAACACTAATGGGAAGGAAAGTAGAGAAAAATCTATGTGGATATATAAGCAAGAACAAGAGATTTTTATTTATTTTAACTATTGTAAAAATATGAGGAGGAGGAGTAGGCAATGTAAGAACTACATTGGATGGATTAGCAAGGCAGCAACTTAATTTTAAAGGATTATTTGTAGGATTGTTTTGAAAGCAAATAACTAAAGCCAAGGGGAAAAGACTATAGACATGATTAATTATGTTTCATCGAGTTATTGTTGATTCTTAGCAACCAGATAGATAGAGTTTCTCCAGCCTGGCTTCAGGTCCCCAAATGGTGTACCCACCACCATTGTAATTGAAACTATTCATCTTACTGCTGATCATCCTTTTCTTCTTTTCTTTTCACCTTTGACTGCAGATTGACTTTTCAAGGGAACTGGGCCTTCACAAATGTGTCCAAAATATTATTTGTGTTTCCAGCCAGAACTCTAGGTCAATTTGTTCTGTCATCAATTTGCTTGTTTTCTTAAAAGTTAAGCTATAAGGCATTCCAAAGAAAAGAAAATTACCACTTAACTCAGGAGTTATCCAAAGCCATAATTCAGGATATTGCCTGAAGTATTCCTTATAACTTTATCCATAGATACCTTAAACAAACAAGGGGGCATCTGACACCTTTGTCTTACTTCCTGTTTACTAACCATTTACAAAGCATTCCACTTGTGCATGCTTTATGATATATCAGTCGTATCAGATTTGTCAACCAGACCTCAACTCTATATTGTGCATAACATTTTATAATTCACTGTTGTTCCTTCAAACTTTTCAAGCAGAATGTCGCCAGACACTTGCTAGCATACTTAACAAACCAATCCCCCCACCCCATGCTATGTTCTCCTTTGCTCAGGGAACAATAAACACTTTCTTCCAATGACCACATACAAATGCACTGTTCGTTCAAAATGCTAAACCATCACACTGCCTCTCTATAAGCAAACCACATCCTATTTTCCATATTCCTCCAGATACACTAGTTGAACCCTACTACTTTTCAAGCTTTTCTTCAATTTCTTTTTAGATACCAATATTTATGGCATTTATTGCAGCACTACTTTTTGAAATACTGTTATTATTCCCATAACATCTCTGTTATACTCTTTCCAAGACTCCCTTACTTCAGTTTTATCACAAATCACTCCATTATTTTTATTTTTAATTCCAATAATATTTTTTTACTTCCATTAAAACACCATTGCCTGTTCAATACAGTATTTATTTTTCATTCATTATGTTAAAAGACTGGTTTTTTTCCACATAGGTTTTAAAATTTCTCTTTTTTTATAGTCATTCAACTTACTTTCATAGCTTTTCTTCTGCTACCATTTTCAAAAGATACTTTTTTGATGTTGTCAAACAACAGGTATAGTACAGGTGGTACCTTGCTCAATAGTAGCAACTGTGAGAGGGATCTCGGAGTCCTAGTGGACAATCACTTAAATATGAGCCAGCAGTGTGCTGCAGTTGCCAAAAAAACCCAACACAGTGCTAGGCTGAATTAACAGAGGGATAAAATCAAGATCATGTGAAGTGTTAATACCACTTTACAATGCCTTGGTAAGGCCACTGCATTCAGTTTTGGTCACCACAATGTAAAAAAGATGTTGAGACTCTAGAAAGAATACAGAGAAGAGCAACAAAGATGATTAGAGGACTGGAGGTTAAAACATATAAGGAATGGTTGCTGGAATTGAGTATGCCTAGTTTAATGAAGAGAA